TTGATATTGTGTGACAAAAGGCAAGATTCGTTTGTTTTCTCTCTGTTTTGGTTGGAGGGCTAGTGATATCTACAGTGGCACAATTCAGTTTCATTTCAATTCTCCCATTTCCCACGACTGACGTTCAGTAGACCTTATGAACATATTTACCCAGTTTTCAGTACGTTTTAGATGTAGTTATGACTATATTGCAAGTTAGAACGAGAACTTAAACGAAAACTTGTTTGGTGTTAGCTTACCGAGATGTTAATGATATTTTGTGCCCGTCAGCTCAAAATAAGAAGGGAAGTGTAAAACGTTTTTTTCAAATCAAGAGTTCTTGCTCAAAATATTACTTGCCATGATGCCCAGAGCCTTCGCTTTTACGGTCAGCGTCACCGGACGAGCGAGGGGTTGGTTGTTTGAACAAAAAAAAAAAATGAGTTTATAAAATATTATTAGAGAAAATGGAAGAGAAAATAATCACAAAATGATGAAAAGCCGCGCGGGCAAATAAAAAATCCATGCAGATGTTCTAAATCACGGGAAAAGTTAGGAAACTTGTGAGAAAAGTCATAAACGCTTGAATCACAGCGCAGCTACAAGTTAGAGTTTTCCGTTATATGGAATACAAACTGTATATATGATATGAGTTTTAAAACAAACCTTGAAAGAGCGAAAAATTGCAGAGTAGCTGCAAAATAATCTTGTAAAGCAGATTTATTTTTTTGTTGGAATGTTAGTAATAGTTATATTCTTGCTAACCGTACATAACTTTGCAATTCATTTGTAATCTATTAAATAGTGTTAAGGTATCGTTTTCCATTTATTCGGCAATCAAAGCGCACAGAAATAAACAGACACTGAACGAAAGTAGACAAAATCCTGCAGTTGAGGGATGACCCCTGCCTGGGAGGTAACCAATGCTTTCGCTTTCGTCACAAACGCTGCTTAGCAATGCAACGGATCACTTCCTTACTTTAATAACCCTGGTTACATGCTCTTGCCCACAAACTATTTACCTGCCGGCTACAGTCAGGGGGAGGTTTGCATAGAAACGAGGCAAAGGGGTCATCAGGCATAGATACGTTGTTTTTGATCAGTTTAATGTTTTTATAAGTCACAGTGGGGTGCTCGAGCCCAGATATCCAACGGCCAAGCGGAACAGAGTGAGATCTGAGCACGAGATCAGNTACAGTCAGGGGGAGGTTTAGCATAGAAACGAGGCAAAGGGGTCATCAGGCATAGATACGTTGTTTTTGATCAGGTTTACGTATTTATCACTCATAAACAGTGGGGTGCTCGAGCCCAGATATCCAACGGCCAAGCGGAACAGAGTGAGATCTGAGCACGAGATCAGTCACTTGCAAGTGTCAAAAACTTAATAAATAGCACAGTTATCTGTGAATATGTAGGCAAGTTTCCAGCTTGTTGTAACAGACAATTTATTCCATAAGTTAAAGGGGTAGTACACAGTATCTTTTACAACTATTGGTTACGCTTTGTAAAGGAAAGTGATGTATTTTTAAGACGGTGTAGTTATTTTCCAAGAGACTGGATCAGCAGTCTGTTAATGTCCTCCAGCTGTTCTGACACATTTTGCTTCAAGGGGCGATAGTCACTCTCCATGCTTTTAGAAGCAATAACTGGGGACTGTTAAGGAGTTGTATACATAACAGCAAGATGCAATTTTTAAAGTTACTGAAAAGGCATAGTACTGCTCAATAGCTTTCATTGAATGGTCACACACTAGGGTTTCATCCACAGACTTAAGCGTTGGAACCACCTTGTACAGCATAATAAATGGTACCACATGAAAGTACTGCTCAATAGCTTTCATTTGAAAGGTCACACGCTAGGTTTTTATCCACAGACTTAAAAGTTTGAACCACCTTGTACAGCATAATAAACAGTACCACATGAAAGAACTGCTCAATAGCTTTCATTTGAATGGTCACGCGCAAGGGTTTTATCCTAGAGCTAAAAGTTAAAAGACACCAAGTGAGTCAAGGACTTACCCTGGAGTGAAAGGACTAAATATCATTACGATAGTTATTAGAAATAAAAGGATACACTCTTTCATGACGAAGTTATTTTGTTCGTGATGCTGCCACTTT